CCCATCTTCCCCTTACCCTCCTGGTATCGCTACTCGTATTATCGATAGATTGACTTCTTAATGATTGAGCTCTGCTTACATTGAGTATGGGGTTGGTGCTAGGGGAAATTTTCCTGTAACATTTCTTATAAGGACAGATCTTTGCCTAGCAGATTAAAGTCTGTCATATTAATACAAGGGGAGCTTTGAGATACTAAATGTATGGTGGTTCTGGGTCCCCTTTCATTGAATGCCCGCTAAGCCAGGGGTCCCACTCAATGTCTAAGAACAACTAGTCTAGAGGTGGTCATCCGTTGCTTCCTCTCCCATCAGGGAATTTCAGTCCCAAGTCCAAGGGTTGCAAGTAGTTTTGAGATAGGGCCCGTTTCCTTCATTCTGGTCTCTACATCGATTCCTTCTGGGTTGGCCCTTGGAGGATGCCATGTTCCCTGTAAAGCCAGCATCTAAGGTCATCATAGTTCTTAGTCTATGGTGCGGTTCACCAAGGGAGGGTTAGGTAGAAATATATTCGAAGCATCTACCCAGGAACATAGAACCTTAGGTACCTTACAATTATTTTTTCACTATCCCTTCCTGATGTAATGTTGTTCTTTCTCATTTACGCACCATTCTCACCAACAGAAATATCAGTGCTCCTCTGAAATGTAGATGTTCCCCTCCCCTGGTCTGAACTTGCTTTCCCAGTAAGGTTCTCCCCTCATCCGGGGGAGGGCCTGTGGGTTGTCACAGCCTTGTCTCAGGGTTGTATGGCATTGAGTGGTTGGTCTTTCCCTTGCCCCCTTATTGAAGGCGTGACCTCAGCCAATGTGAGGTCTCCTCTTTTGAGGTAGTTTTATGATCATCAAACTTTTCAATAGCACTGGACAGAAAGCTAACTCAAACCCTCTTCGGCCCCAAAGGAAACGCCATGCTATATTGCAACTAAGGCAAGGCTGGATCCAGGAATGCAAAGGGTTTCACTAGGAGTCTCTTTCTCTTGACTTTGCCTCCCTTTGGCTTGCCTTTGTTTTCCAGTAGGG